CACTCATCAGGGAAATGCCAATTAAGAGCAATAAGAAGTTATCGTTTCTCTACCATCAAATTGACAATATCTCATGAGAATTGATGATATCATTGTCCTGGCAAGATAACAAGGAATGATCCTTTCTAACAAGGGGGTTGGGAATGTGACTTTGTGATGTTTTTGCAGAAGTCATCAAGGGATTACCATGAAAATACACAAAGCCCTTAAACCTTTAATCTTGCAATCCTATTTCTTGGATTTCATTCTAGAGCAATACTTGTGCTTGTGTGCAGAGTGGCATGATCATGGATGTGGAAACCAACAAATAGGAATAATCTAAATCCATCAACGGGAGAATCCCAGTAGTAAAATCTCTAATCTCTGATGTGACACAACCAGGCAGTTATTAAAAAGAGAGAAAGTCATCGCAGAGTTTATCCTTCATGGAGAAGTGACTGGAAGGGGGCTCAGGAGTCTTTGGGGGTACCAGACACAGTCTCTGCCTTATTTAAGGTGCTGATTACATAAATGAGTGTATCATTTATGCATTTTTATGCACTTCAGTAAAAAAAATTAAGGAGACTGTGTACTATTTATTTAAATGAGATTCTGATTTTCAAGCTCTTCATTTAAATAAGAAGTCTAATACTCTCCTGGGTTCTTGGAGAATATTTCTTAGATAGGGTATTTTTTTTTTTAACCCACACACCTTTGGGAGAAAGAGGAAAAATACCAATAATTTTCTTAGAACAAAAAAAAAAATTAAAACCATGTATACCTTCCAGAAAACAAGAATGTCAATCTAAGTTTTTAAAAATAAGGTTGACACATTGAAAGTAAGATATCTCATCAGAATTGAAGACTTCTAAGAGTTTGGGAGTAACAATGCATGTTTTAAAGCGAAAGATTTCTGGAGTTAGAAATAAAACTCACTAGAGCAGTTTATGGTGTGGGACAGAATCTGCTGTTTTGTGCCTGCTTAAACTGTTCAAGTCTTCCTCTTATCCTACTCAGATTTCTTATATTCATGGCCAGGTGTTGGAGTCCCTTGAGTCATCACTGAGGGAGAAAAAGTGGGTCTGAGAAACTAGGAATCTACCCTGTGGATCAGAAAAGAACAGAAGATTATTCAGAAGTGGAACACAGGGCATTTGGGTTAAAGATCTAAAGGGAAAAGATCTCCAAGGTTTAGTTGTAAGCAGGGAAAAAAAGTGTATTAACAACATGAACGAACATTTATGCACATGGATATGCACGGGCAGGTAACTAGAAAGAGGCACAACAAAATATTGACCGTAGCTCGGTGTGGTGGTACCTGCAATCTCAGCTACTCAGGAGGCTGAGGCAAGAGGATCACAAACTCAAGGCCAGTGCAGGCAACTTATTGAGGCTTTGTCTCAAAATAAAAAGGACTGGGAATGTGGCTGAATAGTAGAGTGCTTGCCTAGTGTGCTGGAGGTCTTGGTTTCTATCTCCCATACTGCAAAAACAAACAAACAATAAATAACAACAATTACTTTTGAGAGGAGATAGTAGTACCAGGAGCAAGCCATGAAGTGAGCACCTCTCCTCTTCCATACCCTTGTATTTCATGAATCTTTATAAGTATGTTGGTTTGAAAGTTGTGCAAGTCAAAAACCATAATTTAAACAGGATTTAAAGACCCAAAAGAAAGACAGAAAAATTACCTGACCTCTTTGGCCATGTGGGAAATTCTGTTAAGAGCCACCTACAGTTCTTCTGGAGGGCTTCAGAACGACTGTCAAAGGGACACACTGATAATGGAACAAACAGAAGAAGAGGAAGAACGAGGGGGGGGAGGGGGAGGGGGAGGAGGAAGAGGAGGAGAAAAAGGATAAAAAGGAGAGAAAAAAAAGAAAAAAAATCTGAAAGTGCAGGTAGATGGGTTGTTTGTGTGCTGAGTTCAAAAATCAGAAAGAGCATGTGACCACTGTAAATCACTGTGCTCAGTCATGGAACATACTTATACAGCTATAATGAAATGGAAATTCTACAAATTGAGTTAAAAACTGATCTTGGGCTGGAGTTGTGGCTCAGTGGTATAGCACTTGCCCAGCACATAATGAGGTGCTGAGTTTGATCCTCAGCATCATGTAAAAATAAGTAAGTAAAATAAAGGTATTGTGACCATCTACAACTAAAAAAATATATATTAAAAACTGATCTTGCTGAGTGCAGTTGTGCAGGCCTGTAATCCCAGTGGTTTGGGAGGCTGAGGCAGGAGGATTGCAAGTTCAAAGCCAGTCTCAGAAACTTACTGAGGCATTTAGCAACTCAGCAAGACCCTGTCTCTAAATAAAATATGTATATTTTTAAAAAAGGGCAGGAAATGTTGCTCAGTGGTTAAGCACCCCTGAGTTCAATCCCCAGTACCAAAAACAAAACAAAACAAAAACCATGTGATATTATTCTGTGAGAAGTAATGGTGAGAGAGATGGTAAGGAAGAGTGCTAAACCTGCCTGTTGCTTTATAGCAATTTAGCAATTCCATTGATCATGTCTCAAGAGACAAGAGCAAAACTTTTGGTTTTGTATTTACATGATGCTAAGTAACAGGTGAATGTTTTAGATTGGCATATAGGTTGGAGAGAGTCCAGGAGATGAAGCCAAGAAGACTGGCTGGCTTTTAAAGTGTTGTAACACCATGAGACTTTTTTTTTTTTTTTTTTTTTTTTACTGTTTATGCTAACATGGGCCACCCTGACTCTGTATCTTTTCAGGTGATGTTGATGGGCCCAACTTGACTGATCTGGGGAAGGATAGGAATGGTTGACCCTCTAGACACATTAACACAGTAATACCCTCTCCAGACATATCCCTCATACAGAGCATTGTTCCACAAATCCTTGGAGACACCTGGGACCACAGAAGAAATAGATGCAGCATATAACATCCACATTTAAAGGTGGACTCGGATCTTCGTTGCTTCTTTCTTGTTGTATTTCCTATAAACTTCCCAACAAGATAAGTATCTTTTGTCTGGTCCAAGTTTCAGGCTGTAACCACAAAAGTGCAAGAAACATTTTAACTATTTTTCTGCATCTGCACTAATTAGGGTGAATGGGGATGTAGAAACATGCCAAACATGTCATGGCTCCCCAGGATAGTTTATTTTCTGCTTAACTGGCTCAAGGTGGCTGGAAGAAGAGCAACTATTCCTAAAATAAATCAGGAACTCAAGCCAGTGAGGTCTCTGCCACCTCTATAACATGTGGCCTTTAAGTCACCTTAGGTGGCTGGGCGTGGTGGCACATGCTAGTGGCTTGGGAGGCTGAAGCAGGAGGATCATGAGTTGAAACCCAGCCTCAGCAATGATGAGGCATTAAACAACTCAGTGAGACTCTATCTCTAAATAAAATACAAAATAGGGCTGGGGATGTGGCCCAGTGGCTGAGTGTCCATGAGTTCAATCCCAGTACCAAATAAATAATTAAATAATAAAAATTTAAAATCACCCTAGGTTTTATTTGCCCAGATGGCAAGGGGAGGAAGAGAATGGAGGAGTGTCCATGGGAGGTATTTAAAGGCCAGTCTCATTTATGGAACAAACTAGTTGCTTCTGCTCACATTCCACAGGACTGTAGACAGCCCTCATGGCCACACATGGGAACCTATGAGGTGTGGCTGAGGGCTCCCATTTAGAAAAAGCTTTTGGGATTTGGAGAAGAGTTGACTGTCTCTTCCATAGCAACTCAGTTTTTACTTATGGTCCCCATTTCTGTGGTGATAGAAACTTCTTTCTGCTGAATCTAGGGTTTCTGTGTCTAAATTTGGGCTTACCCATGAAGCTAGGGCACCAAAAGCAGCCCCTGGGCATCTCTTGTCCTTGGTGTCAGTCTAGATCCCTGATTGTATTTGCTGGAGATGGCTCTTCTGCTATCCCCAGTTCCTCTTTGATAATCATCTCCTGTCCTGCCACTTGAAATTCCTGCCACTTGAAATTCCTATGAATCCACCTTCTCTTTATCAGGTTGGGGTTCAGGATACCCCACTTGTCTGAGGCCATTTCTTCCTAGACCTCCATATTGCATATATCTTCCTTGATATCTTGCAGCCTCTCTAGGCCTTATCTGAGATGAAGGTAGCATCTTAGGTCTTTGACATCCTTCTTCATGCGACACAGTCTGCAGAGAACTTTTTATGGGTATGCTGATTTTAATATCTCTCTACTCCTCCTCTTCTATGTATGAGGAACCAGTTACCTTTCCAGATTGGGAGAGAGGTCATCTTCATCAGCTAATCTGTAAAATCTATTTTGATTCCTCGAGGGCCTTCTATTTTTTTTTTCTAAGAGTTTGACTTTTGGATCTCAAAGGCCAGAATAAGATGGTTTTCTTATCCCTGCTTTGATACACTAAAAACCTACCATCCCAGGTTAAATGGAAAAACACTTAATGAGAATAAATATTTATTCACATCTCTAAATATCATCTTACTTTGGCAATATTATGGCTGTTTTACAGATAAAGGAGCCAGGCCCAAGAAAAGTATTTTTTCCAAGTATATACAGTTTTTAAATGTCAGGGGGGGGTTATGAACTTCCATCTGCCCTATTTTCATGTCCCTGGACTTCACCATTAGGGCATTCTGCTTTTCACATGGTCTAGGAAATACATACCCCAGCAAAACATAGATCTGGACCCTGCAAACCCACACAAATACACATGAAGATAGAACATTCCCTTTAATTTTATTGGTTTAAATAAAATTTTTTTCTGTAAGCATATCCCAGAGTCAAGGAAGAAGATCTAGGACATGAAGTGTGGAGCCCTAAGATGGATGAAGACAGCTCTGGAAGCCAGGTCTGCTTAAGTAGTACAGACAGGTGACCTAGATGTTGCCGGGCTGCTGGGATGCTTGGATGTTGAGTTCCTTGGCTGGTGGGTTTCTTGGCTAGGGGATGTCTCGGCTATTGATTTTCTTGCCTGATAGCTGTTCAGTCTCTTTGTGGGTTGGTCTGTTGGGGAGTAGACGTCGGGGGATGCTGCTCCTGGTCCTCATATATATAGAAAAAGTAGATAAATGATGGCCAAACCACCGAGTATGGAGAACACAGATAGCCAACCAGTTTTGCGTGAGCTTTTGTAAGCCTGTTCCCATTCGCTGTTGCGGTTAGCCAGCATGATCTGTAAGGGCGACAGCATAGTGGTCAGTTTCTGAACCAAGAAACTCTGAGCTCAGAAACCTTTGGTATAAGGGTTGAAGCGCTCCCACCATTGAAGGAAAACCACCTCTCAGGTCTCAGGACTGGAGCAGATGTAGGGGTCAGGAAGAGGATAGGATGGCCATGTCTTTATTTTACCTTTTTTCTCTCCTTGAAAGCTAGAATTCCCAAGGGAGGGCAAAGCAATATACCCAAAACGACCAAACATAGGTGGTTCGGAGCATAAAATGCCAGTTCTTCCGGCGACTGTGGTTTAGCATTTTCGGCTCGTGGTGGTGGGGGCTTAGGTTTGGGGACCATGATCTTTCCGCTCAGGTAAAGGCAGACGCTGAATTTCTTGGGAACAGACCTCGACCCACGCCAACTCCTCTTGCTTTACTGGGACTCCCAGGACCCAGACCCGTCAAAGGCTAGTTCTTCACAATGGAGAAAGCAGCGCCTCAGATCCTGATTGGCTGTCCTCATGAGGAGGCGTGGTCTCACTGGGACTCCGGAGGCCTCCGCAGGAAGCTCTACCCCTTTCAGGCATTGGCCCCGCCCACTCGGGTAGGGATTGGTTGGAAGTTTGCCTCGTGGCTCTTCCTCCCTCCTGCATCCCCTGCGTCTGCAGATGGAGCAAGTAGGCAGGACCAGGAAGGCCTCCTGAGAGCTGCGGGAGAGAGCAGAGTAAATGAGTCCAGGAAGAAACAGGAGGGAAAGTGAATGATGTCAGTAATGGATGATGAAGCATTGAATTAAAATAAAATACTTTGTACTGTTTTGTCCAAACTGACAGGAAGAAAGAACAGAGAAGATGAAAAATGAGAAGGCCTTTCTTAAGAGGACCACCTAATAAATATACATGGGATGACAGAATAGGAAATCCGCACTGTGGTAGGTAGACTTCAGAGATGGCCTCGGAATTCCCTCCCTGATATAAACATCCCCGGTGTGGGGAGTAGCACCCCTGTGGAAAGGAATGCAGGCAGCCTTTAGCTGAGGGCAGTTTCCCAGTCAGCTAGGGAACAGGTCCTCGAGTCCAACAACAGTAAGGATCTGAATTCTGCGATACCCATCTGCATTTGAAACAGAACTCTGAGCTTCATGTGAGAACCAGCCTAGCTGACACCTTAATTTTAGCCTTGTGAGGTCCTGAGCAGAGAAAAGGCCATTCAAAATTGTGAGTTAATACCTGAGTTCATGGGATGTGTATCAGTAGAAAATTAACTGCAATTTTCAAACACCACAGTAATTAATTATTCAGGTCAACCAGGGGTGGATGCTCATATAGTACCACTGGGTTTTAGCTGGTGGAGTTAGGGAGTGGAGAGTATGAGGTGCCAGTTTGCAGGGAGTTGGAAGTGGGTGGCAGGTGCCCATGGTGAAGTTCACAAATGTAGACCCCAGTATGGTTTATAAAGTGTTGTCACAGTTTGTATTTAAGCCCAGTCAAGGACCTAGAAACAGTAATAACAAGTGGCAATACACATATCCAGAAGTCAGGACATGCTTCGTGGAATGAATTGATTCAGAATATTTCAGGGGCTAAGTGCGTATTCCAGAATAAAAAATATGGGGCCTGTGGTGGGAGAGGACAGAAGTCAAGATTGAATGTGGATAGGTTTCTGGCAGTTCCCTTGGGTGGTGACAACCTTGTAATAAAAGCTTGTGTGTGGCATCTCTTGACTAGAGTCCCTTATTTGGGGTGGCTTGGGGATGGTAAATTATCTGGGCTCATGTATCACTTTTCAGGTGAATTTCATGACTGGTGTGTTCCTTGGCTGAAGGGCTGCTTTGTTTACGTAAAACAATGTGGAAATTCCATATATGTGCAGTGTCACAGCAGGCAAACTCAGGTGTAGCATTTGTCAAGAGTGACTCCTTGCTATGTCACTGCTTCTCAGTTGTCTTTCCTTAACTATTGGGAGTAGAGTTAGAAGAAATGGCTTCCTAGAGTGAATTGAAGGAATTAATTTCAGTCTTTACGAAGGTTACAGAGCCAAGATATCTTCCACCTCAAATGCTCAATTCTGGGTAGAAGTAGATACAGGGGTGGGTATGGATATGCTGGATGTCAGGAACTGAGCAGTAGAGACAGTGCCCAGTCTTCATCATAGACAAGATTATCAAGGGGAAATTATGATGGCTATAGCTACAGGAGGGATCGGATGAATACTTTCAACTCTGCATTTCTTGCTTCCTGAACTTTGGCTTCTCCTACTTTCTGTTTTACTCCCTACCCCCACCTTTTGACCTTCTTTCTCTGTGTAGTAACTTTCTTGGCTTGGACAGTTGGGTTTTGATTTCCAGAAAGTAAAGGATTTGGCCAGTGTCTTTAAGCATAAAAGAACAAGGATGCCTCCTTCTGACTGACCGTCTGTATAATTCTGACAGCATCACCAACTTTTTCATATTTGATATAGTCAAACCCTGCAAAGACAGTTTCTCATCAAACATTGAACCTGCTGGTGCCTTGACCTTGATCTTTCCACTCTCCAGAACCATGAGAAATAAATTTCTATTATTTATAAGTTACTCAGTCTCAGGTATTTTGTTATAGTAATGCTAAAGAAAAACTGGATAAACCAGCAAAACCCAAGCCAGAGAGAACTTGGTAGGGCAGAACTCCCAGGGTCTGGTGGGGGTCTAAGTGGGGGATATTAGCTTCTTAAGCTCTAGAGTCCATCTCATCCAGGTGAGGATAACAGACTGGCCTGAGATTGTTACAGGCAATTTGGGGTAAAAGCCTTCTTCCACAGCACTCCCAGAAATGATGTTAGCCTCTGAGTAAATCCAGAATTTTCCAGTTCAAACTAAAAAAGGGTTATGTTCTATGTACTGAAAAATCAAAATTTAGTAAAAGAAGAGTCTTAATAATCAAGTTCCAGAATGAGGGGGACACAGCTTTGAAAAGCACCATTTCAGCAGAAGATGCATGGGCATGTGCAATAGAGTGTTGTCAGAAAATATCAAAGGGATCCAACACAGCTGCAGCTGACCCTTCTGCTTCATCTTGATGCTGCTCTAAAGCCACAGTCAGGAGGCTTCTTGGTCCAGCTACTTTGGGACCGTCATAGTGCTCTGAGAGCGTATCCAGGTGCCTGTCAAAGTCCTCCACTCTCTGCTTGTGGGTTTTGAAAGCTCTCCTCAGGATTCTTTTTATTTGCTACTTTTCTCTTTTTTTTTTAAGGTGTTGGGGAAACTCAATATCCCATTTCTTCTTCTTTTTTTACCCACCAGGTTTGGAGTTGCTTTATTCCTTTTTTGTTTGTTTGATTTTAGTTACACATGACAGTAGGATGTATTTTGACATACTGTACATACATGGGGTGCAACCCGTTGCAATTTTGATCTCATTCTTACGGTTGAACATGATGTGGAGTTACCCTGGTCACGTATTCATGAGGAGTGTAGGAGCCTCGTATCTGATTCATTCTGCTGACTTCCTATTCCCACCCCTTTCCTTGTTCCCTTTGTCTAATCCAGTGAACTGCTCTTCTCCCCCTCCCTCCCTTGTTATGGGTCAGCATCCACATATCAGGGAGAACCTCCTGCTTCCCTCCTGCCTAGGGTCGGCCAACCCAGGCAGTGCTGCGTCTTGTCCTTGTTTTGTTGGTTCCCATTGCTTTCGGGAGTTTCATCTTTTCTTTGTCCTTTTCTCCCTTCTGCTTGGTCATGGCAAGCTCTGAGACACCTTTCAGCTTCAGCTTCCAGGGTCCCTCATGGACATGTTCACAGGCCTCCATGGTGCCCTCCTTCAGTTAGGTGGGTGGTGGGCCCTTCCCTTCCTTCCTGAGGATTTTTGCTGGGCATGTAACTTTAGATTGGCAGTTAATTTGATTTTTTTTCCAGACATTGAATATAATCATTTTGCCCTCTTTTGAGCTTCATTTTGTTGCTGTTTAGAAGTCAGCCATCAGTCGACTTGTCACTCTATTGAAGGGGCTTCTTTTAAATATTTCTCTCTCTCTCTTTTTGTTTGTTTTTAGAAATTTCCTGTGTATTTATTGGCAGTGCCAAAGATCAAACCTGGGCCTTGCACAGGTGGGCCAGCCTTCTACCCCTGAGCTACATACGGCCTCTAAAATATATTTAGAGTAAATTGTATGGATCCTATTTGAGCTTCACTGGGCTTCTTAAATTAGTTCATGGATTAATCTCAGTCATCTGTTCTGGAAAATTCTTTGGCACTATTTTTCCAAATGCTTCCTCTACACCATTCTTTTCTCTTTTGTTTGGAGTCTAGTCACACATGTGACAGAACTTCTTCTGTATTCCTTTTTCACACTTCTATTCTGAAGTCTGTTTTATTTTTTCTGATCCATCTTTCATTTACTATTTCTCTTTATCTCTAATTTCCTATTAATCCCATCTATTAGATTCTTATTATCATTTACTGGATTTCTCAATTCTAGAATTTGTTTGGTTTCCTTTCAGCTGTTCTCATGCCTAATATCTAAGTTTACAATGACACCAGGAATGATAGAATTAGAATATCTTCTAATTATTTATTTTATCCAAATTTATTCCAGCAGTCTCAGAATAACAATACCAAAGCTACATTGGTCTTGTCACCACGTAATTTCAGGAAATTACGTTTCCTGAAAACTTTAAAGATTTTTCTTGCTGTTCCTTTTCCTTTTACAACTTATCTATTAGGGGGATGTATGGTTAAATTATAGTGTTTAATGTCTCTTGAAATAATCCTTTTCTGTCTGGTTATGCTAACAATAGATACCCAGTTAGGACCACTTATTTATTTTCAGTTTTAGGAATTCCCTTTTAATTTCCAGCTTAAAAAATAACTACTAAAATACTTAAATGGTTCCAAAGTAAAATCAACAGAAATTGAAGATACATTGTAGCTCTGGGTTTTCGTTTTCCTACTATATTCCCACATTTTGGAGAAGTCTCCTTTTATTTTTGTTAACGATCTCATCTTCATCTGTTCTAAAATCCTGGAGCGCTGGCAAATCACCAGGCATTGGAAAAACACAACACAGTAGTTCAAACCTTTCTTTCTCTTCTGGATGCAGTGCTTAGTCTGGGAACTCTGCCAGAACTAGGACAATGTTTTCTCCCTGAAAACAAGTTATCATCTTCAAAGCACTAGAAAGTCAGAAGCAATATGAACATATTTCAACAAAAATGTTCATTTTTTGAATTGTTAAATTTGGTTCTTACAAATGTTAAAAAAGAAAAAAAAAGTTCTTGCAAACCCTTTGGAGGTCAGATTTTCTCATGCTACAAAAATTTCACATGCCTTTCAGTCAGTTGGGTGTTAATTATAGAAAAAAAACATTCAAATTCAAAGTTATTAA